TTCGTCAAGCTAATGACGTTAAACAAACGCTTCTTGGGAGGCAACCCAAGTGATTTACTACTTTCTTAGATATTTTTCTTTTCGTTTTTTAGTTTTGTCTTGGAATAATGGGAGTTTGGAGTTTCATGATTTTCTTATTGGCAGGTATGAGTTCACGAGGCTGAGCATAGGCGAGCTACTTGCACGTGGATACTTACTCTCCTCGAGGCGTTTCGGTTTGGACACCCTTTTCTTTATTTTTATCTTTTTTGAAAGACATTGATCTTCTGTCTCTTCATGGATCTGATAATCTTAGGCTACTATTGGTCAGAAATCAGCTCACCGGAGCTAACTATTTGCATTGGAGCAGAGCGATGAAGCTAGCTCTTGCCGCAAAATCCAAACTCGGCTTCATTAATGGCACTGTTAAAGTTCCAGACCAAAACTCAGATGACTACTTTCAGTACCAGAAGGTAGAATCTATGGTAATATCTTGGCTGTTAAATTCTATCTCTAATGATATCGTTGAAGCTTTCATGTATGTCAAGTCTGCCAAACAGTTGTGGGATGAGTTAGCTGAGAGGTATGGTGATAGTAATGGTCCACCGAATTATCAATTGCAGAAGGAAATAGTTACTTTATCGCAAGGAACACTCTCAGTTACTACTTATTATACTAAAACGAATAGTTTGTGGGATGAATATACTTGTCTTGTTTCTTTGCCTGAATGTGTTTGTGGATCTAGCAAGGCTATCTCTGAAAATGATATGGAGATTAAACTCATACAATTCCTTATGGGTGTAAATGAGGTGTTTGAGCCAGTAAAGAACCAAATTCTCCTAATGGATACTTTGCCAACCATCGATAAAGCATATTCAATGATATTGAAAGTAGAAAAACAAAAGAGCTTGGTGGCAGGTTTGCAAAATCCACTTGAGACTTCAGCCATGCTTGTTAAAGGAAACCTTGGGAGAGGAACATGTTTTGGCCGTGGAAATGTTGGAAGAGGTCAAGGAGGGTAGTTTTATAATAATGCTGGTAGAGGAAGAGGTACACCAAGGCTCTCTAAGGAAGAGAGAGCAAAGTTGTGCTGCACTCATTGTGGTTACAATGGGCATGATGTGCAAGGGTGTTTCAAACTAAATGGATACCCTGATTGGTATAAAGAGCTTAAACAACAAAGACAAGGACAAAACATTAATATGGTTGAAGGTGATGATTCCTCAAAAGCAGATTCTGAGGTTAAGTCACAACACAGTGATACTTTACCAGACATCAGCACTCTAGCAAGAGAAGTAGCAAAATACATGTCCATGCAGCAAGATGTTGAGACTCACACCTTTTCTCATCTTGTGGAATCTTCAGATGGTGTAGAGGGTTATGTATTTTCTTTGTTTAACAAACTCAACAAAGGAAGTTTGATAGTTGACACTGGGGCTAGTAAACACATTTGTTCAAACCTCAAATTGGTATCACACAGTGCAGACATCACTACACCAGTGATAGTGAATCTACCTGATGGTTCTAAGTTTGAGGTAACAAAAATAGGTGAAGTTCAACTGAATGATATGGTGTTGCTTAAGAATGTGCTACTGGTGCCAGAGTTTAAATACAATCTACTTTCTGTGGGATAGTTGATAGACGACAATGGTTTGAGTTTCAGCTTTACAAGCAAAGGTTGCAGATTGATGGATGATGCAAGCAACACAGTAATTGTTGAAGGGAAGATAATGGCAGGATTATATATTGTAGAAGGGCAAGAATGCTATGCTAATGCAGTAGAAAAGGTGACCTGCATAGACAAAGAAGTGGATCTTTGGCACAAAAGGCTGGGACATAGTTCAGTAAATGCACTCAAACACCTCCATTTTCTCAAGGGGTGAGCACTTAGATCAGAAGTTGAGCTCCTGTGACATATGTCACAAGTCAAAACAGTATAGGCAATCCTTTCCTCTCATTCATATCCAAAGCAAGAAGAGGTTTGAGTTGACTTATATGGATGTCTGGGGGCCCTATCTTGAGAGATCAGTGACAAAACAACCCACATGTTAACAATTGTAGATGATTACACAAGGGCTACCTGGATTTTTCTCATAAAGTATAAGTCAGGGACATATGGACACATAAAATTTTTCTTTAATATGGTTGAAGTTCAATTTGATGAGAAGGTTAAAAAGGCGAGGTCAAACAATGGGACAAAATTTATTAACAAAGATGTGACAGACTTGTTCAGAGATAAGGGAATACTCCATCAAAGATCATGTCCATATACTCCACAACAAAATGGAGTAGTTGAAAGGAAACATAGGGTGATATTGGAAGTAGCCAGATCCATTTCTTTTCATTCAAGCCTACAAAAAGAACTTTGGCCTTACAGCTTGTTAGTTGCAGTCCAGATAATCAACACACTGCCCAGTGAAAAATTAGGGTGGAAAAGTCCTTTTGAATTGCTGCATAGGGTTGTGCCAACTTACAACCTATTCAAAGTGTTTGGGTGCTTGTCTTATGCAAAAAGAAATAACCCACACAAGAAAAATTTTGATGAAAGGGCAGTGCCTTGTGTCTTTTTAGGATACATCTCAGGGGTCAAAGGGTATAGACTGTATGATTTGCAAGCCAGAGAGATATTTGTTTCCAAAGATGTGTGTTTTTATGAGAACAAATTTCCATTTTCAAAGGAAAGATCAGGGACTGATGCAGTTGGTGTTGGGGTTCCCCTACCTGCAGCCATTGAAGCACAAGAGGATGTGGTTGAACAAGTTTCTCAAGACATTCATGACAACTACATCTCACAGGATGTGGTGACAAACCCTACACATATAGAAGATAAAGGGAAAAGGCTAAGAAAAAGGCCTGAATGGATGAAAGACTGTGTGGTGGATGGTTTCTCTTCAGCAGATGATGAAACTGAAGAAAACACCTTTATTCTTCACAGAAGTGGGAAAATCATTGTCAGAACCTGTACTTTATGAACAGGCAGTGAAGGATGCCAGATGGATAGATGTAATGGATAAAGAATTGATAGCCCTTGAGATTAACAATACTTGGGAACTTACTAAGCTACCAAGTGGAAAGAAAGCAATTTGCAGATGGATATATAAGATCAAGAGGAATCCAGATGGAAGCATTGATAAATTCAAAGCCCGGTTAGTTGCAAAGGGATATCTACAAAAAGAAGGGGTGGACTTCTTTGATAGTTTTTCTCCTGTTGCAAAGTTGGTCTCAGTTAGACTGCTCATAGCCTAAGGAACACAACAAAAATGAGAATTACACCACATTGATATCAACAATGCTTTCCTGCATGGTTTTTTGGAAGAAGAGGTTTATGATGCCATCTAAGGGATATACTAAAGCTAAACAGGGAGAAGTTTGCTTGTTAAAAAGGAGTTTGTATAGTTTGAAGCAAGCATCACGACAATGGAACATAGAATTTTCAGAAAAGTTGCTTGGATATGGATTTGTGCAATCTGCACATGATCACTGCTTATTCATCAAACATTCAGGTTCTCAAAGTCTTGTATTGTTGATTTATGTTGATGATGTTCTTATTGTTGGGAATTCTCTAACTGCTATTCAAATCCTTAAGAAGTATCTTCACAACCTTTTCACAATCAAAGATTTAGGTCCAGCAAAGTATTTCTTGGGGTTAGAAATTTTTAACACTGCAAAGGGAACTTATCTCACACAAAGGAAATATATACCTGATATGGTTCATGATCTTGGTTTGGACAATTGTAAGCCAACTGCTACTCTTTTGCCTCCAGGGATCAATCTTTCTTCACAAGAATCTCCCACACTCACAAATTCTTACGTTTATAGAAGGCTCATTGGGAGGATGTTATATTTGAACTTATCAAGGGCAGACATCTCTTATGGAGTGCAATAGCTTAGTCAGTTTGTGCAGAATCCTACACAAGCTCATTGGACAGCTACTATTCACTTGCTTAAGTATTTAAAAGGGACTCCTACATTGGGCCTTTACTATGCAACATCTCCTTCTTTGAAACTGGAGGCCTTTTGTGATGCAGATTGGGGAATTTGTGCCCTAACTAGGAAGTCTCTCACTAGCTACTGTGTGTTTCTTGGCCAAGCTTTGACTCTTGGAAAACTAAAAAGCAGAAAACGGTTTCTCGATCATCAGCTGAAGCTGAATACAGATCCATGGCAACCACTGCATGTGAACTTCAATGGCTTGCTTTCTTAGGAACAGATCTTGCAATGCCTTTTCAATCACCTATTCCTCTATGGTGTGATAACAAAGCAGCCAATCCAGTGTTTCATGAAGGTATGAAGCATCTTGACATCGATTGTCATGTGGTGCGCAATCTCTACAAAGCTAGATTTTTTATTGCCACAACACATTGTCTCTTCACTGCAGCCTGCTGACCTGTTTACTAAATCCCTTGGACGTGCAGATTTTCAGCGGTTTGTGTGCAAGCTGGGAATGTGTGTCAACCCCTACATTCCCACTTGAGGGGAAGGGGGTGTTGAAGTGTTGATGTGTTCGTGCTATATTTCATGCAATTGAGGATTTGGAAGCATGCAGACGAGCTCCTTTATTTTCTGTTCTTTGGTTTCTTTTGTTCGAAAGCGTGGAAACGATTTTATATTTTTCCTTTTGCGTTTCTTTTAGTAGCTGCTTTCTTATTTTTCTGGCACGTGTGTCGTTGTAATTGAACACGCGTGAACTGAGGGGTTTTACCCTTTTATTTCGCGTGTACTCATCGTTTTCATTTTGAGAATCTGGTTTATGAAATTTGAGCAAGCGTGAGCTAAAATGGCGTCTTCATTTTTCCTTTGATTTTTCCATTGTGAGTTTTTATATCGAAACTGCTTTTCTTCATTAACCCTATAAACTAATGGCCATCGGATTCTTTTATTTTATGGGACGGTTGAGATTGATCAGAGCAGACATTCCCCAATTCTGTCACCCCCTCCGCAATGCGTTGTATTATTTGACGGGAGGTAGGGTTTAAATTTAATGGTGGGTGATGTTGCAGAGACACAATACTAGTGACACGATGAATAGAGTCTTGGCCAAATTCGTTCCCCTCTCCAAATTAGCATCCAAATCGACGTTCTTCTCGCATTCATGGGTGAATTCATCGTCTCTTGTCACCAGCAGCACCGCCTCCAGAAAAATACAGCGGAAAAGTATACAAGTCAAGAATCTACTACTTCTTGCCTCGAGTGATACGGAGTTATCCGTTCGTTACCATAAACTTTCAAACAACAAAAAACCCAAGGAACTATGCTTTTCTAAGACTGCAACGCCTTTTTCTTGGTGCATTCAGATGGATACGCTGCTCTGTGGAATCCAACAATAGACGAGCTCAAGTTTTTTTCTGAATCCTCAGTCCCGCGCCCTCCTCGGAGAAGAAACACTTTCTTTACTTACGGTTTTGGGTTGGATCATCAGTACGACTACAAGGTGATTAGATTTGTCAAGTATATGTTTCTTGACGATTATACTGAAAATATTCTAGTTGAGCTGTACTCACTTAAAAGTGATTCCTGGAAGGAAGTCATGTATCCCCATTTCCCTATGGCTCCGGCAAATCAAGAGGGTCACTTTACGGCCCCGAGAAATCAAGGGGTTCACATAAATGACATCCTTTATTGGCTTTGCGATGATGGAGTTATCCTGTCCTTTGACTTGACTACTGAGGAGTTCCCTTCCACACCTCTTATTCCTCTGTCCCAAACTTATCCTCTTAATTGTTGCAGTAATAATGTGCTTCTTGTTGAGTATAACGGGCAGCTCGCCACTATTGTCCACAGTCGTTTGGAAAAAAAGTCTTGATTCTTTCTATTTTCATATTTGGGTATGGAATCAAGAATCATGGTCTAGAGTGCTGTCGAACGTCCCTTGTGTCAGTGTGGCGTTTCTTATTGTAAACTGTTGGGCTTCTTCAACAGTGTCGAACTATATCTTCAATCCATGGATGGTGAAGTGGTGTGTGTAGATCGTGCAACAGGGGAGATCAAGCTCCTTGGTCCCTTTGTTGATACATGGAGGGCTTCTTTTTTTTTATGTCGAGAGTAGGCAGCCAATAAAGTGTAGTATATATATCTTTATTCATGTTATGTTGTCATTTACCTGCATTCCTTATGTTAGTCCTTAGTAGTATGTTACTATGGAAGTCAAATTTTTGCAACTCATACCACAAGTATAAATGTGATTCTTCGTGAATTGATTTAATTTCTAGTAAGTCGGGTTCAGAAGATTCTAGTGGTCGCATAATATCATTTGAGTTTGATAGGGGAAACATTATATTTTCAAGAGTTATTTCAGTTGGGATGTGCAGTCTACATGCACTCTCTTGTCTCTAGCTGCTTGTGCCATGCCATCAAAATTCGGTTGAAAGTTAGTACATTATGTTGAGTTTTGGATCTGTGCATCATTTGAGAAATCAACGAAAACATTATAATGCAGTTTTATACCCCAACTACTAATTTCAATCTCACTAACTTCTAAACTAGTGTGTATCCCGTGCGATGCACGGACGGGCTTTTTACTTAAAACCTTTTTTAAGACTTTATATTAAACATAGTTATTTATGTTTAACATCTCATTATTGTAAGAAAAGAAATACCAAATATGATAAATTATATATTATTTATTTAAATATAATGGGTATCCCCAACTAAACTAATAACATCAAACATTAGATATATGATAAAATTAATTATATGATCATCATACTTTTTGGAAAAAAAAAAAAATCATCAATTAAGTTGAACTACCCGAATAGAAAAAATAATTTTTGATATTATTGACCATATTTACCCGTTGTATTTAAAGATATCATTGACCATATTTTTATGACTTAAGGTTTACAAAATATATTTTTCAAAATAACAATTTTTTTATTTGAATTTGACCTTTTCATCCAGCCGATATTTTCCACAAAAAAAAAATAGTATTTTAGAAAATTTTCGACGTGAAAATCAAAAAAATTTAATTCAATAATAATCGATTAATTTAATATTGTTCAAAATTGTTTGATTCGGTCATAATCAAATTTGATTTAGCTTATCAAATGAAATCAGATTTTATACCTAAAATAGTATACTTTTTGTTTGATTTCCCACAACAAAAAAGGTCGTGCTTATATCCTTAAACCAAATCCAACCTATTTTAGATTTTAAATATATAGCAAGCAAATAATAGATGTGATCTACAATATCCAATATTAATTTGAATTATTTTGAATAAGCAAAATTTTGAAATAATTATTTGCATACAAAATATTAAAATCGAATACGTTATGGAATTGTTTCTTTAATAAAAGAATCTTTTCAAAACATATCCAATATTAACTTGAATTGTTTTAAATAAGCAAAATTTCGAAATAATTATTTGCATACAAAATATCAAAATCGAATATGTTATGGAATTGTTTCTTTAATAAAAGAATTTTTTTTCAAAACATATCCTACATTATCTTTTTAATACAATGGAAATTATTTTCAAATGCATCCAAAAGAAATCGGTTATGTAGAAAATAATATATCATACTTTAAAGAATCCATATTTTTATGGAATTGTTTCCTTAATCACATCCTTAAAAAAGAAGAAATATATTTAGTTAGGCTTATTCTAAAAATTTGATTTAACCAATAAATATATATCAAATCCTAACCTAAAAAATAGGAAGTTAAAACATATGGAATTGTTTATTTAATAAAGGAATCTTTTCAAAACATATCCAATATTAATTTGTCAAATAGTAAAAAATAAATTTCACAAAAAAAATTAACCAAATCTCTTCATAAAAGGAAGGAGTTAAAATAGGGGGAAATTAACCAAATTTATTCCTAAAAAAAAGGTGTTTAACAATAATCTGAATTTTGTTTTTTCATATTAAAAATCAAACCAAAAACTTTAGGCGGGATTTGTGAAATAAATTCAAAAAAAGTTTCCACAAAATGTAATTTTTGAAATAATTGAGCGAGAAAAAATTTACCGAAATTGTATTTTTTTCTTAACTCTATTTTATAGTAATTGATATAAAAAAATAAAAAGCAAGATAAATAAAACGTGTCAAATAAAAAATCGGATGTAAAAAAAAAAGGTAACAAATATAAGCCTAAACAAAGGGAGTAAGAATAGGCGAAAAAAGGAAGAATAATCTAAATCCAATTTCCATAAATCTATTACAAAATCGAATAATTCATTTAGGCGGGAAAAACGAAAAAAATTGAAAAATCACATACATTTTTGAAATGTTTTGGAGGGAAAAACACTTACCAAAAATTTATTTTTTCTTAACTCTATTTTATAATAGTAGATTCTAAAAGCCAAGTTTCTCAACTTTGAAACTGACCCTATTTGACAAGTACTTACCGCCGGGTTGAATAGGAGAAAGGCAAAATAGTTGATTACTATTTTATTGGCTTTTTAATATTTATATATATATATATATAGGGATGCGTTCCAACCACTCATTAATTCTCTCTCTCTCTCTCTCTCTCTCTCTCTCTCTCTCTCTCTTTCTCTCTCTGTCTCTGTAACCTCGCACGCACACACACGAATCACACACACAAACACACAAAGGTCAGTCGCCATTATCGTTCACACGACATTCATTTTCGCCGGCGCCGCTCGCCGCCGCACAGGTTCGCCTCTCAGTCCATCACCACCATTGCCGCCGTCTGGCGTGAATTTGGCCGTGATGGACCTCATCAGTCATCCACCCACCACCACGAGCTGCCGGCCTCGCCACACTAAGAAGAGCAGATCGAGACCTTCGATTCGAGCAGCGGACGTCCACTTCTCCTTTGCCGTCTATTTCACGGTTGCAGTCGTCCACTGCTCGTCGCCGTCTATTTCACGCCATCCAACTGCCGCCGGTGTCTCCTGTCGCCATCCGACCACCGCCGACTTTTCGTTCCGCCCTCCGAAATCCGCCTCAGTGTTGTTGCCTCCGCCGTCGTCTTGATATGGCATATTGGTGAACAGGGTTGAAGCTGCAAACATGAATTTGTGGGGCCTTATTTTGTGAATTAGATATAAATGAAGGACTTCATTGTAATTGAGGAAATTTTGGCTCTGTTTCAATTAAGTACAATGGGTTAAATTTGTAATTTTGTTAAATATATAAAAAAATTATTTTTCATACTTGGGTTCTACACATATATATACAGTATAATATGTGTTTAAAAAAACATATAGAAATATTAAATAAAATATGGAAATACTATATATATTTTTTGCATTATACATAATAAATTATTTAGGTTCGATTTAGTTGCGCATAAAAAATTCACTCTAGAAAAATTCAGGGTAATATAAAATTATAATGCACATTAGTGACTACAACACTGCACACTAGTGTTCGATCGGTTGCCCAATAATGCATTCCAATAATGCACAGCGTATTCTATTTAGTACAATTTTGTTTTATTTACAAAAGAAAGTAAAAAAAAAATAAAACAAACAAAAATAACAAAAATGATGTAACTGTATAAAGAAAATATTATTTTTATTCCATAAATAGATAATAAATATGTATGTAGAAAAGTATCTTAAAATTGTAACGTACATAAGAATACACTTTCAATATATCGCACAACAATGTTGACTAAATGTACAATAGTGTATGTTGGAATGCACATCATCAAATTCGATATGTTTTAAAAATATTATTATTTTTTTATATATTTATTTATATATTGTGAATGCACATTAGGTTTATATGAGTTGAACATTAAAGAATATCATATTGCACAATATATATTTCAGTTCAATTATTGTATATTTCGATTCAAAATTTCGTATTTTTTGTTCTATTAATATCAATATTTACTCCTAAAAACTCGATTATTTCGGTTCGATGTTAGTTTTTGTATTTATTTAAATAACAAAACAACTGAATTATATATAAAAAAAATATTTTTTTCATTCAATAAAATATACAAATATTGAAATACTAATTATAATTTTATTAATTAATTACAAATATGATTAATTATAAAATATAAAAAACTAATGTGCATGTCCTCAAGCAATCTGGTGCATTTTATGTATCATTGTTGTACATTTATTAATTTTACCTCAAATTACATATCTATGTCATGAACTAAAGTACAATATAAAAGTTCATAAGTTGCATATAAGCCCTCTGAACATTTCTAATTTCCTTGACATGACCCAACCCTAACTATTCAAATCCCGTCACTGTCACATTTCAACGCGCAGCTCACCGCGGCCGCCGCCGCCGCTGCCGGACACCATCACAACCGTCGGACACATCGTGCTGCTCATCGTCACCACCTCCGACCGGCGTCCAACGCCACTGCGACTGTGCGTATCCTCATCGTCCGCCGCGTCTTGGACCTCGCCAGCGGCCCTGACCTTTCCGATAATTGGAGGCGAGAGTTCGATGGACAATGGCTGCGGCGTGGCGGTGCCGGCAACGAGATCCATCCGCTGAACGGCGACGCCGTTCATCCTGCTCGCTGAAATCTAATGTTGAACACAATGAGAGCAAGGGCGACGGTTGAGGCGGCCAGGATTAGGATGGTTCCGGCGGTGGCGGGCTGTTCGCATAGGGCATGACGAACCAGAACACCGGCGAGAGGTGACAGTTGACGGCGGGCAGTGGCGAGGTAGCCGATGGACGGTGGCAGACTCGGGCCTATGTTTGTGTGTGTGTGTGTGTGTGTTTGTGTAGAGCTTGTTGTCCGGTGGTGGGGTGCCTGAGGAACGGTGCCGGTGAATGTGTGTGTGTGTGTGTGTGTGTGTGTGTGTGTGTGTGTGTGTGTGTGTGTGTGTGTGTGTGTGTGTGTGTGCGTCTG